TTCTTGGTTGTTTTGTTGTGTGTTATTCTCGAGATTAACCGGGTAATGTCGACATTAACCGAACATCGGACCTTAACCGTAACATATATATTTCTCATTAAGAGCTACATCGATAATAGATAATTTGTTGTTTGTAGCATTAAGCTTCATTCAGAACCTCGCAATTACTGGAATAAATTAGTGGTTTCAAATACACTTTATACTGGTTAGTTTACGATCATTTACAATATCTAAAAATACAATTAAAATTAATAGAATATCCTAGCAACAGCTTGGGGTAGTCAGCTGTATCCATTGAGAAAGCCTAATATTTAGCTTATAAAACAATAATCTTTTGATTTCTAACCACAATTTCTCTTGACGGATGATAATCAAAGGCCAAAATGACATTCCACACAAATTTTGAAGTATAATTATAATTAGTGGAAAAGTTTAAACTTTGGTAACTTTTTCTACTAATTGTAAATTGTTACCACTAATTTTGACGTTCTGAATGCTTACATGGAAATTAAAGGAACAAAGTTCTACGCTAATTGAAACCACTAATTTATTCCACTAATTGCGAGGTTCTGAATGAAGCTTTACTCATTTTCCAAATTTTGAGAGAAAACTACTACTACTATAAGAAAATCCAATCGGAAGACAAATCTGGACTAATATATGTGAATTTTCGATACAGATGGTAACTGAACGAGACTGTGAGACAGTACGGCAAGTGAATGAGACGTGAATGACATATTCCCTGTACACAAGAAAACTGACATAACTCAAAATTACCGGTTTGACAAGAGAAAAAAGTTAAAGTTAAAAAGTTTTTCTTATGTCTGATGTCTACACTTTTAGTTTCCGTTCTCGTCATAAGTATGTTGATAATTATGTTCAAACAATGCGAATCTTATTTGGGAACGGTCACAGATACTTAATGTTAAAATACATAATGCATTAAAATTAACAATTCAAGAACATCTATTACGAAAAGAGAAATATGAAAGAAAGTTTCAAGGAAGTTAATTTCCTTTTCAGTATTATAAAATATCATTCTTAGGTTAATGAAAAAAAATATAATACACCATGGTGAACAATGTAACGTATTCAAATACGTATAATAATGAAATGTATAAACTATTTAAACTAAATCCTTCTTTTGCTAAAACTGTCCCACTCATGTAATCTTGTTCCTTATTTAATAAATATGACACTTGGAAGCAGTTTGGTTTTGGAATTTTGCCACCTATTATCCATATAAACTACGCTGGTCAACACATTTTAGATTATTAGTGGTATCTTGTATATGTTGATTTCTTCAACACGGAGCGTTAAAAACACTTCATATTCCTTCAACTTTACAAACAATTCCAGTCTTGTGAGAAATCGTCAAATTTCGTGTATTTAACCTATTTTATAATCAGGAGAAAATTTTTACAAACTCATGTCTGATAATTTTAGGACAATGATGTATTAAAATAAACTTTTTACTAAAAAAATAACACGATCAAAAATGCTGTGATGGATACTCGACAGCAGTATTATAAAGTATGTTTCAAAAAAAAATCATTTCTTAGAATGACTGCTTCAATCGAAAATAATTAATGGTGCAAGGCGCCATGATCAGCTGACTTATTAGATTAAAATCTTTCGAATTGTGCTGGACTTTTTAAATTGCGTTTAACTTCAGACTTAATTAAACACCGTTAAAGTGAAAAAATAGATGTAGGAAAAACAATAAATACTCCTAGTACATAATTTAACAAATTTTATAATGCAAAACTGCCGCAAACCTTGATATTGTCTTCTTTTTGGATAAAAATCCTTCAGCCCTTCAATCGACGAAATTTATGAAATTCGTGAAAATTAATTGTATGTATCAATTAAATTATTTTCCTTGAAGTTTAGCCTTTTAAGGCCATTGTAGAAAATGAGAAAATTACAAAAAATACATTTGCCATGAAATTAATTATAGTCACAAAAATGTCTAAACAATATTGCTACATCCAAAAAATGAAGCTTTTATTTTCTACAAGGTCAGTGCACCTACTTGCTTTTTGGCTAATACTTTGATTAATATATTTATTCTTTTTCAGAAAATCTATATTATGATTTAGGTATGTTTTTATGGTAAAATTGGCAAACTCACCATGATGGATAGAACAATAAAAATATTCTAGTTATATGTGATATAAATTAAATGTTGATGAATAGTGAAATAGTATATCGTTTAATTAGGAGTAACAATGATTGTGGCGACACTGTACGTTTGACGAGACTGACGTGACGATATTACAGGCCAGGCAAAAAAAGTAATTTTTACTCCGAATAGAACATGCTATTGTTTTCAAACGTCGCAATTTTTTAAATAATTTTTATAATTTAATATAAAATTTATAATTAATTTATATTACTATTATAATTACAAAAAATTATATGTGTTTTTAGTATTATTTATTATTTTCATGAATTATTTAAAAAAAAAATAAAAACACTAAATCACCACAATACACCAAAACACTTTTACTTTTACACTGGACGCGCGTTTCGCTAACCATGTTAGCATCATCAGCAGATGATTATAAACTGGACAGCTTATAATCATCTCAACAACAAACAGTTTATAATCATCTGCTGATGATGCTAACATGGTTAGCGAAACGCGCGTCCAGTGTAAAAGTAAAAGTGTTTTGGTGTATTGTGGTGATTTAGTGTTTTTATTTTGCTGTGTAACACCAAAGGTTCCAACCCTCAACTGTAATTATTTTTTACTCAATTTTGTAAATGAAAACATAATCAGTAAATAAAGTTGTTTTTAACATAAAGATGAAAAAAGTGTATGCCCACATTGCCCACATACATCTCTTCTATCATTTTATTTTATTTAAGACCGTAGAAATGGTGTCAGTCATAAGAGTAAATCATTCAATGTGAAATATTTAGATTGCTTAACATATTAGGTCCTAAAATATTACATAACGTATGCAAATTGGCATATAGGTTGAAATGTCTCGTAGTTTATGTCACTCTTCATTAACATAAAAAAACTGTTCACTATGTAGGTTACTGGTTTAAAAAATTATGAGAATTTCTTGAAAAGTTTTGAGTTAATGGTGTCTTGACACTTGACATACACACTTGAAGATTTATAAAATAAATTTTGTTATATTATGGAATTTAATTAATTATTTATTTTGTCATTCTGCGACCTGCAGTTTCCTTATGATGTCCGTTTTAACTATCCAGGTTTCGCATGCATAGGTCATGACTGGTAATACACATTGGTCGAATGTTTTCTTCTCGAGATAGAGTGGCGTTCTAACTTTGAATATAATTGAGTTTCTTTCATAAGTACTCCACGCTAACTTAATTCTTCGGTTGATTTCTGGTAGTAGAGATACCGAGCTGTGTATTAATTGTTCCAAATATAGGTATTCTTCGACTATTTCCACTGTTGTGTTATTTATTAGAATGTCTTTTCTTTTTACTAGTTCTTTATACATTACTTTAGTTTTTGCTAAATTTATTTTGAGACTCATTTTATTGCTGGCTGTATTTAGTAGTACTTAAAAGTACTTAAACACGTATATTTTATTTTGTTTTTTTACATATTCTAAGATTTTTTATAAATGTATACAAGGTGTTTCGAAAAATCTGGTCATTGATTAATCACGATCCTGCTTAAAGCGCGACGTAAAAAGCTGATTTTTGCAAAACAGATTGACTTTAGGGTGTAGAGGTTCGATAAGAAGGGATTAATATAGAAGGGATAACTATCCCTCAAATATTAAAATATTTTTTATTTAAAAACCGGTGAGTTTTTCGGAAAAACTCTTAAACACATATATTTTATTTTGTTGTTTTACATATTTTCAGATTTTTTATAAATTTATACAGGATGTTTCATAAAATATGACCATTGAGTAATCACGATTCTGCTTAAACTGCTGATTTTTGGCAAACGGATTGTCTGTGGGGTGTAAAGGTTCGATAAGGAGAGGTTTCTCGAATCTCAAATTCCAAGAGGGTGAAAACGCCCCTCAAATATTACAATATTTGTTATTTAAAAAACGGTTAGTCTTTCGGGAAAACGCTTGGACAAGCATAATTTATTTGGTTTTTTACATATTTTGAAATATTTTAAAAAATCATACAAGGTGTTCCAAAAAGTTGGGTAATTTCTTAACCACGATTCTGCTTAAACTGCTTGACGTAAAAAGCTTATTTTTGGCAAACGGATTTTTCGAAAGTCAAATTCCAACGAGATGAAACTACCCCTCAAATATTACCAAGTTATAAAATAATATCGTCATATTGTTTTTTCTCATGCTGACATAAATGTGAGAAAATTTTATCCAGTTTGTATGTTAATGGAAATTCTTGCTTTACTTTATCATCACCATTACAAATGATTAATTCGACGTGAACGAAGTCGCTGGTACACGCTAGTCAGATATATTTTCAGTTATATAGTTTTGATGATTTGTTGTAAAATATTCAAAGAAATTCATATTTTGCATACTATGTATCTCATATGTTCCTAACTATTTATGAGGTATTTATAATTTTATAGTACACACAGCATGTGTTATAACTTTCCAAAGATTTAAGCAGTTAATTTTTGACAAATTTATGTTATTGAAAGTTTGTAAAAATACAAGATTATTATTTGTTCAAACGCCGCGCCGCGCCGGGATGAAAGTAAGCTGTGCTTTTGTAAGTATTTAAAAAAAAGAACCTTTTTTTTATATTTCAAATTTTCAAGAAGATAAACAAAAGCAAAAAAATTGACGTCAGTGAATTGGCATTATTTGCTAAAAGTTTTCGATCGATAATTTGTTTTAGCATCAGTACAATCGCTAAATCATTTACCTCAGTACTATCAGTCGATCCTATTTTTTAGGATTTGGTTTGGCAGTTATAATTTTCGGTATAATATTTATGTTGTTGATACTTTGATATAATTTTTTTTAATAATAATAAAAAAAAATAAAATTTGCCAGTACATAACTTACCTACATTTCTTCTAATCCAAAACAATTGTCATATTATCAGCAAGGAAATAAACGTAGAATTTGTGGTACCAGGTAACTGTTTTTGTTTTCAAAACATTTCACCTCTCATTCCACCTTTAAATTTAAAAAAGAAATATTTTATGAAACATCAAAAATAATCGTATTTTTTAAACAAAAACGTTATTATGATTTTTTTGTCTAGAAAATTAAATCAAAATATAGATTAAACTCACTGGGTATTAGGTCAAACCGATTCGGCGAAAGTAAAAGTTAAAGACTGACTTGTCCAGTCGCGGGTTGTTCCTCCGCGGCCTGGCGTCTTAGCAACGTCGTACCCCAGGTGGGGATCCGCAATCTCGGTACCGAAAAAGGTACTACTATGCCGGAAATGGATGAAACTATTGTTTCTGCCCGTCGTATAAGAAAGACGTGAGGGTTTTGTTAAATATTTATTATAATTTTTGGTTATATCGTCAGGCATTTACGTTATCTTCTTTACTTCGAAAATATTTCTGTTTTATTTTTTATTCATTATAGTTCCTCCATAATAACCACTAGTGATGTGCAAATGCAAGACCAAGACCAAGACTCGATTAATTGATTTATTTGTTTTATAGCTTATTTTACTTATTACATATTAACAAGAACTAGTCCATTATGAAAATTATTATGACCTCGTTATATGGTTTATTATATATTATTATGACCTCGTTATATGGTATATTATATTATATAAGCGTTATTATGGGTTATTTATTTATTGATGTACATCTTGCAACACCGTAAGTGGTAATAACAAGTAAGAGAGTGCTATTAATGCACAAACTAATAATCAGAGAATTAAATAAAACTAACTTTGAAAATGGTATACCTAATGTGCTTATCAATCAAACTTACATCTCTGACTGCAGTTAAGGGTAATAAAGGACCTTTACATTGTCACGTTCTCGTTCAAAATAGTTTAAAAAAAACAGGGAAGCTACAAGCTCTTTGCTTCGACTGTTTAAATACTTCGGCATATTTTCAACACACAATTTCAAGAAATGCAATACAAAAACTCCAAAATTTAGTTCTTAAAAGAACTGTTTGTGCTTAAAAGTGCAATTTTTAAAAAAAGACTGTGAAAATAGGCAAAAAAGCGAGAATAATTCACAAAGATTCAACAACAACACGATATTATACAAAATAATGACTGACACTAGGATAATTGTCAAATAATAAAGGACAAAATTGCTGAATACGGCGCAATGTGACCAACATAGCGATAATAAAATTGGGTTTAAACGAGGGTTTAAACTCAGTCAGGTTTATAGACTTTAGTGTCAATGTCGATATGATTGATGACGTGCATCGGAAAATGTTGCTTCTTTCATTATAATTTTAGCGTTGTTAAAATCTATTCTGTGCCCTATGTTCCATGAATGCTGACAAATTTTAGATTTCTGAAAGTCGCTCTTTCTTAAATAATCCTTATGTTCTTTAATTCGAACATTTAAGGTTTCACCAATATAAAATTTATCGCATTCACATGGTATTTTGTATATTACATTTTTTGTCTGTTGTTCAGTATTCATTGGTTCAGTGTGTGATAAAATGGATCTAAGTGTATTTTCTGTTTTGAAAGATGTTCGTATGTAAAATTGTTTTGGTATCCTTCTTATTTTTTCCGAAACGCCTCGTATGTATGGAATTGTAAGTTGTATATATTGTGTATTATCATTGTGTGTATTCTCTCTATGATTTGGAGTTTGTATTTCGTTTAATGTTTTCTCAATAAAAGATGTTGGATAGTCATTTTTTATTAATGTATTTTTTATGTGGTTTTGGTATATCTCTGTTTAGTGAATTGTCGTCTGAATATACCGTGCTGGCAACTGTTACTTTTGGGTCTGTATTTACATGTGTGGAAGTAAATCGCATAAGGATCTTATTAAGTCGGAGTGAGAGAAATGCGACGGTGTGCTGTTGCGGCGTTGCTGGTACTATACTAGATTAGTATACTATAACTAGATAAAATCATTAGATATGTTTCTGAGCATCTGAAATGGAATTACAAGGATATCGTTAGGGTGTCCATTTTTTTATAACGAGAAAACGACAATAATCGCGATAATTATAAAACTTTTTAACACATAACACTCCATAACTTAAGAACCACTTTAGATAGGTATTGAAACTTTTTTTTTATTTTGAAGATCTGATATTTTACAATATGTTTAAATAAGAAAAATTCGATAAGGTTGTTTTTTTCATTCAAAAATTTTAAACAACCCATCCATTTACTTTTAGTGCATAGCAATTTTCAGCAATCGTGTAACTTTTTTATTTATAAAGATTTTCACATATTGTTTGCGAAGAAAATATAGCAGAAATATTAAGAAAGTTTTTGAAAAAACTACAATCAATTTATTTCTAATAGATTTCGAGATATCGATTTTTGAATTCAGAGTTCTAATAGCGCGACTACTGTCGAACACCAACTAAATTCCACTTATTATTACCAAAAATGCAAGTGTTTCTAACTTGCACGTAAAAATTTTCAAGATACAGGGAAAATTACAACGACTCGTTAATAAATAAACAAATAAAGTATCACGAGACGTAATTAAATCATGAAGCTGAACGCATGATGTACACCTTTTCTTAGAACTTTAAGTACTGACCTGACAGAGGTGCTGAGTGCTGATTGGGTCGGCCGCTCGACTGTGTCAAATCTGCTATATTCCCTTTCACGTCTCTTGCAATATGTGCACAGTTTCTCGGTTTATTTCATGCGTTTATTTTTATTTTTTTTTCTGTGAGGAGGGAAAAAATCTTGCATAAGACACCCACAGTTGGGTAGTGCCGGATTCTTACCAGCTAAAAAACCCCTCCTCCAACTACCACTTTACACTGGAATCCGCTCTCGCATTGCTTCAGTGCAAAGGGTGTCTATAGATTTATGATGTTCGTTGTCTCTCTTCCATCTCTTTACAACTTATTATATTTCCTACTATCCGATATTCTAACTTCCATTGTACTTCCCCTTTAACTAGGTACATAATAAATGCGGATAAGTCAAATCCTCTGCCGGTTTCTGTACGGAATTCTTCCCTAAGGACCTGCCATCGTTCAAACGCAAATAGTGTATGTTGAACATCGTCATCTTGACCACAGTAGATGCATGATGCACTATCTACCCTACGACGATCGTATAAATATTTCCTAAAACACCCATGGCCAGACAATGCTTGACTCATGAAGTAATCGGCTTCTCCATATTGTCTGTTTAACCATAGTTGTATGTCGGGTATTAACCTGTTAGTCCATCTGCCATATATTCCGTTATTCCATTTTTCTTGCCACTGTTGGAGAAGTTTTGTCCTTGCTAGATTTTTATCCATACCATGGTATCTATCATATCTATTTCATGCGTTTGGCAACGTGTTTACTGTTCTCTCTTTGTTCGGTACATTATAAAACGCATTGTACTCTTCTTACATACGGAAATCTCGACCCAAGATTAACCTTTGTCAGCTTTTAGTATTATTTTTGCCCTATCGTATAAACTTTTTATTATACCTTTTTTTACAGTTATACTGTGATTAGATTAGCCTACTACTGTAAACTTTGCCTGAATCGCAAATGTTGAGTGGTTGAATGAAAACCCGTCTATTTCCGCCTTTATTATGGTTCCGATTGGTTCATTCCGATCGAACGTAGCTGATATAAACGTAGTCATTGTGTATAGTGGAAATTGCAATAGAGCCGTGAGTTCGATCGTGCAAAACACGCGTGGTTCAATTTCTACTTTTACCGATGGCCGAGGTATGCTTTCTGCCGCACGTCTACAACGCATTTCTTCGCCATACTCTTATGTAAAACTGTTACGTAACGTAAGCCGGCTATAGTTAATTTATTTGTCCTAGAAAAACGTTACGGCACGATGAATTAATATGAGGGTATTGGTGAATATTTTATTCGGAAATCCCGAGTTGTTATATTTTTTTATTTAGTATATTTTTATACATATTTCTTTAATTTAACGAGGAAATTACAGCTGAAATACTTAAGTACATTGGTAGGAGAACTTGGAAAATTCTAGCAAATATATACACCTCGTACCAATGGTACACTTGACCAATGTGTACAGGGTGGGTCAAATTCGACGCTTTTAAATGGAAACACCCTTTTCTATATGAGATAGACGAAAACTAATATCGGTGTCTGGAGTTCAATTTTCATCAAAAACATGACGGTGAAAACCGCACATCAATATCTGTTACCGTTTCGGAGTTACGGGGTGTTTTTCAAAAATGTGCATTTTTAACAAATCGCTGTGACTTTTTTGCTATGGAAAATTTTGTATTTCTATGAAAACATTTCCAAAGCACCTTTTTACGTAGAATTTAATGGTTTAAGTATAATTTTTTTTAAATTAATAATTTAAGAGTTATCAACAGAAAAATTTATTTTTTATTTGGGACACCCTCTATATTTTTAATTAATTGGAAAGAATTTAAAATTACCTTTCCAAAAATACAGCACACTTGATATTTTGTTATAATCCCCTTCGAAATACAGAATATTTAAACGTTCGCTACTTTTAACTAGTGGGCTTTGGACCCCTTATTGATGATATGCCCTTAATGGAACTCGAAAACATATTTTTCCAGCAAGACGACGCACCGCCTCAGAACACTGAAGTTATCAGCAAATTTTTGCAGCCAATTTCAAGAATAATTGAATGGCTAACCAAGATCCCAGCCGTTGGCCGTCGAGGCCTCCTGACTTAGTGCCCATGGATCTAATCCTATGGATATATTTGCGGAAGAATAAAGGTTCCTTATTCTTCCGTATAATCTAGACAAGAATTAGAAATACTTAGCACTTATGAGAGGGTATCTTTCACCCCCACTGAGTTAATGAATTCCGCAGGAAATGTTCAAAAACGGATCCGTCTGTCCATAACAGAAAACGGTCGATATGTCGAACACCTGTAGCAAAATCTCATGTCTTGGTTTGCTATTTATTTTTATTGTTATTAGATATAGTTTAAATGTGTTGATATTGGTTAAATATATTTTAAATTGTTATAAAATTCTGCATCTCTCATAGCAAATATTATTTTCGTTTCAATTGATTCTCACAGCTAGAATTTTTTTGCATTACAGCTGGTTCAAAGCCTACTTAATTAAAGCGGGCGAATTTTTATATACTCTATATCTCGAAGAGGAATCGAGCAAAATATCAAGTGTGTTATATTTTTGGAAAGGTAATTTTAAATTCTTTTCAAT